GTCCTATCCAGCAAAAGAGAAACTGCCTAATGGATTTCCTCTCCATTCGATGTAGCAGCAGTCTGTGAGTCTGGCTCTTGGTGCCTTACTCTCTGTTACTGAACTAATATGAGCGTACCGATGGCTTAAGGAAGTGGATGCAATATATACAATAAATTGCACAATGATACCATGCTGAAATCTGCTGAAGAATAATAAAAAAAATGAATTTTGTCATATGAATTGGTAGTTTGTAATAATGGTCACTATATCTTTGTATGTGTGTGTTTGTCCTACAGCGTTTCAGCATGGAGGGAATTTCCAACATTCTACAAACAGGCATCAGACAGACATTTGGAAGCACAGGGAATGACAAGCAGGTAAGGTTTAAATGTTTTAAATAAAAAACAAAAAAACCCAAACAAACATGCACAGATGAGCCAACCCATTATGAATACTCACAGATGGAACAAATTATATAATGACATATTTAGGAATTCTCGTTTCATTAGACGGTGAGTGAACAGTTGGTTCTTGTAGTCAGCCGTGAGTGTAAGGCGACTGGCCATCCTTAGGCATAAGGATGGCCAGTCGGCTGTGTCAGAGAACCTCCTGAAATTAGAAAGCCTGTTAGATGCCTCTGGTGAACAGCTGCAACCACCAGCTGGAACCAGCTACAAGATTTTGACTTCTCAAGGTTCACTGGTGCAAAGAAAATAAAGGCTACCTTAGCTGGCCTGAACTGAGCTAATGCACTGTGGAAAGAAGACCAGCAGGTGTAAGGGTGAAGATCTCCAATTGTATACTGTATGTTGACAGAGGTTTTCTCAGTACTTAGATTGGTTTGCAGTGATGGGCGGTTCAGATTCAAAGTTTGGTGTTCTTAGAGCTTTACTGCAAAACAGGAGCTGGACTAATCCTGGTGACTTCAGGCTTAATCCAGTATTTCAGTAGTACGAAGGTGGCTGACGTCATGCCAGGGCACATCTCCATGACATAACAGAATTTCATGATATTTTGTCAAAAGTAGCTTGACAAATTGATACTACTCTCATGTTACTTGTAATGTAAAGCTACAAGTAACTCACTAGCTTGATTGCACTTTGGTTGAACAAAATTCTAATTTAAACAAACAAACAAAAAAGTCTAATTTAAAAGAAAAGAAAAAGAGAAAAATGCAATCCTTCA